TCACCACTATAATCAAATCTCATGTGCCGTTGTCGGGCTGTCGGTTTCCTGGAAAATGATCTGCTTGACCCTCATACGTCGAATTTAGACGGGAGAGTCGACTATATACATATTTGGTGTAAGAAAAACAATGCTCAGTGCTAAATAACAGGGTTATTAAGTATATATTAATAAATACACATAAAACTATATATGTATATGTATTATATAGCTCTTCGGTAAAAATGAACATTCATAAAAACATTAGACTAGAATTAGCAGTTTCTCTCTGCCGTATGCGGATGGTTTAGGGGTCGAAACTCCGACTGACATCAAATCAGTCGGGTTTTGATGCCGGTTTGGGGCTTTCGGTTACCTAGTTACACTGAGGTGCTGTGATACACCGAAACAGTACTGTCTGCGACTGATTATATATATATATATATATATATATATATATATATATATATATATTCCAATGAAGATATAATCTATGTAGAACTCAATGTCCAGGACATCGGAAGAATATAATATAAAAGGCTCAAACACTAATATTCCATGGTCATAATTTATTAAACTGGAATCCTAATCACTATTCAATATATTAGACCTACAAATTCAAAAGGTCAGATGAATTGGATCGTGATTACGATTCCAATGTAATTAATTACAACCATGCAATATTAGTGTTTGAGCCTTTTATATATAAAGAAATGGACAAAGTCCGACAATTTATTTATTAAAGACATTTTTATGTTTAACGTTCTTTTTTATAGATACTTTTTATAGATACTTAAATACTGTTTATAATAAACAGTATTAAATAACATTTACCGGCCTGAATGTCCGAGAAATTTTCATAGAAAATATTCGTTCTTTGGCAGGATTCGAACTTGCATCCTATACGGAACCGTCATTTACGCTGACGTGCCTTGACCGCTCGGCCACAAACGATCGTTTGGCTGGCAATGTTGAATTTACTGTCAAAATATTTAAAAAAAAAATCCATATTACAACCAAAAACGTTTGCGGCACCTCTCTTCTCTTCTTTTTAATATATATATATATATATATATATATATATATATATATATATATATATATATATATATATGAATGATGTAATGAATATGTATACACCTGTGTTCTTCCTCACAGGAACATGATTGGATGGTGTCAGCCATAAATACTGGCTGATGTAGAGCTACAGACGACACATATTGGAAGCCCATTGGACTACGCCATTGACTATTCCATTGGTCTATGCCTATTGCCTACACCTATTGACTGTGACTACGACAAGTACCAGTTCAATTACTGCTACCTGCTAGATTGTTCTACTCGGTTACAGTAGCCTAAAGCACTTAACTACTTCGATCAAATACATATCCCTTTCCGGGAAATATCAAAAATAAATTTGGGAATAACTGAAATTAATCGCGGAATCCAGTGAAAGTCACCCATGAAATAAAAATAATTGTTTGTACGGAAAGCAAGGACCTACGTACATCAAATTATCTTTAAATTAAATGGCGTTGAACTGTTAAAAGGTAAACTTAAATATCAACGCAATACATAAATGCAGCGATCAGTTTTAATTTCTTCTGTAGTTTATTGTTGCCTATCGCATATGACAGCAGTATGCCTCGCTAAAAGAAATCTCTGCCGACAGAGGACCAGGTTGCAATCAAAAGACCCAAGGCTGCAGCGAGGAAAAGAAATTCCCGAGCAAATGAAAAGAGAGCTTCCAATCCTGAGAATATGCAAAGATTTAGGGATTCTCAAATTCCTGAACAAGCCGAAGGTCCAATCACGAGCCCTCCACAGAAGCTGGCTTAAATGCCGTCCGATAGACTAGTAGTAATATATAATGTGGTAGCAGTTTTTTTTTTATATAAGCAAAACAGGCTAAAATTTTGGAAGCATTTTTTCTTTCTCGTCTTCTAAAACCTTAGACCGATTTTAAATGTGAATTAAGTTTAAACGTCTAATTCCTTTTTCTTTTTTTTTCAGATTTGGCGGACATTTTGGCGATATTATTCTTCACACATAATTGCCATGACTCAAATAACATGATTCAATAGAGAAATAAATAAATTTTCACCAAGAACAGTGAATTATTTACTGCTGACTTTGATCCGTCTTAATGAAACACCCTTATATATAATCCGTTAAATGAAACAACCTTTAGTTATAGACAGAATGCTTATGGTAGATCTTAGTATTAAAGATAGCTCCATGTAACAGAATTTATATACACGCTGCTGTTCCCAAGGAGGGATAAAATTATTCGTTGATTTTAAAAACTTTCCCTTGGTCTAATAAATATTCATGCCCAAGTTAATTATTGTGCATGAAATAGTTTGGTCATATATATATATATATATATATATATATATATATATATATATATATATATATATATAGATAACTAGACTCGTTTCGAAAAAACCCTCGAATTTTTGATTTGCTAATAATCAAATCAATCTCGAGGGAAAAAAAGGTTTTATAAAAAAAGAAAGAGCTACAAACATGAACTTCCGCCGACAAAAAAAATCGCTCAGATGCAGGTCTGAAACCCAAAGAAAAAAACCCCGATACGAGTTAACAACTAACTAACAAAAGAGCTCAATACAACCGTAGAGCAGACCTAGATACATTTAGTGAGCCAGACAAACCTGGTTTAGGTTTCACCTAAACGGATCGTCAGGGAAAGTAAGTGACGATCCGTTTAGGTGAAACCTAGGTAGGTTTGTCTGGCTCACTAGGTGTATATATATATATATAACGTCATATATTATGAAATGGACTAAGTCCGGCAATTATAATTTTAATATTTGATATTTGAGTAGAGGCTTCGATTATTTATTAAACAGTATAAATATTCATTTTCGTTGACCGGCCTGAAATAAAGGGTGTACCAATAACTTGGACCGATTTTAATGTGAATTAAGTTTAAGCGTTTAATGATTTTTTTTCTTTTTCTTTCAGATTTGGCGGACATTTGGGCGATATTATTTTTCACACATAATTGCCATGACTTAAATAAAAGGATCCAATAGAGAAATAACTAAATTTTCACCAATAACACTGATTTATTTACTGCTGACTTTGATCCGTCTTAATGAAACACCCTTATATAGAATCAGTCTTAATGAAACACACTTTATATGCCGTGTCTCTTCAGGACGTGGGCGATCATTATTTTCCTGTCCTTTGTGGCTCTTAGTAAATTTTGTCTTTTTACTGCCTCTTTTAGTATCCATTCTACCCACCGTTCACATAAGCGGAGGGAAGCAGCGTGTGACCGACCAAAACAGCTTCTGTCAATGAATGGCAGAACAGGAATTGGGAGAGATAGTGGGGAGTCAAACCGTACTAAGTTATAAAAAGATGTTTTAGAGAGCCATGATCGCGTACATCCTGATGTGTGATCATGGCACATAATGTATATATATATATATATATATATATATATATATATATATATATATATATATATATAAAATATAATAAAAATAAAACACTAATATTCCATGGTCATAATTTATTCCATTTGAATCGTAAATACGATCCAATTCATCAGACCTATAAATTCTTTTTGAATTTGTCGGTCGGATGAAATGGATCGTATTTACGATTCCAATTGAATAAATTATGACCATGGAATATTAGTGTTTAAGCCTTTTTATTATATTCTTACTCTGTCTTAGACATTGAGTTCTACCTGGATTCTATCCTCTTGGATTTATTTTTTATACACATATATATGTATGTGTATGTATGTATGTATGTATATATATTTATATGTTTTAGATATATGATTGCATATGTATGTGTATATTTACCACTAATATTATCATTATCTATCTATCTATCTATCTATCTATATATATATATATATATATATATATATATATATATATATATACACACACACATATATATATATATATATATATATATATATATATATATATCAAAGAAAGAGAGAGAAGGGAGAAAAAGAGAGTGCGATAAGAGTGAAAGAGTGACAGAGACAAGGAAGAAAAGGGTTTTTTGAGAGAGAAGGAGAGAGCGACGAGGGAGACAAGAGGTTTGATGAGAGTGTAAGAATGAGAGACAAGGGAGAAAAGAGTGTGTCGAGAGTAAAAAAGAGTAAAACAAAGGGGGTGGGAAAATATAGTGTATTATCAGTGAATGAGAGAAAAAATTTAAGAAGGTAGAAGAGAGTGGGTATTAAGAGTGAAAGACAGTGGGAAGAGAGAGTGTGATGAGAGTGAACGAGAAAGCGAAAAGGGAGAAAAGAGACTGCGTTCTGAGTGAAGGAGAGTGAGAGAGAGAGACAAGGAGGAAGTGAGAATATGTTGAGAGTGACAGAAAGAGAGAGAGAGGGAGTGGTTGTAGAAAGATAGAGGCTCTGATTCGAAACCTTACTTCTCAAAGGCATAAGTGTTTTCATATGTTACGAGTTATTTGATAATACAGTCCGCACATTATTTTAATTTCGAACGTTCCTACAAAATCCCCCTCCTATCCACCCGTAATAAAGAAATATTAAAGAGAAATAGAATTAGGGTTTACAAGTGGGTATATTATTTCGCTTTTGCTGATTATCTTTATCTATATAGTCTGGCATAAGGTTAAATGCTCTTGACACTAACAGAGTCCATTAGCAGTCAACCATAAAAGTCAATGGCGGAGTGCCCAGGTATGCAAGTTATATATTGGATGTTTTAGATTTTTTGTCTAGAATAAATCATTCTTTTGTCATAAAAAGTTAATTAAGGATAATTAATCCTCCCCTTCTTGCTCTTGTGATAATTAAAAAAGAAAATATCCCATTCTTCGTTTCTTATGATAAATTGTTAACAAGCAACATTAGTAAACTAATGTAAGCAGAGAAGACCCCGAAAAGATGGGAAACTAATTTTAGGTGAGGTTTCCTATCATCTAACCCTGGTTCTGCCTTGGTTGGGTGACTCATAAATTGTAACAGTGAAATACATAATTATTTCTGTTCACAGACACAAAGAATGAGGAAAAAAATTAGAGGAATAAAATTGAGGCTGGGAAGTTGCGATAGTGACTGAAAAAAGACAGTGTGTTGATAGTGGGAGAAAAAGAGAGAGAGAGAAAGAGAGAGAGAGAGAGACAGAAGACTGAAAGAAAGACAAAGGAGAAGAGAGTGTTGAGAGTGAAAGAGAGTGGGAAACAAGAGAGAAAAGAGAGTCTGGATAGTGAAAGAGAGAGAAAGAGAGAAGTAAGAAAGAGGGTGTTGAGAATGAAAAGGTGTTAGAAAGAGACGAGGGAAAAAGTGTTGAGATTGAAAGAGAGAAAGAGACGAGGAAGAAAAGAGAATGTATCAAGAGTAAAAGAGAGTGAGAAACAAGGAAGAAGAGAGAGTGTGTTGAGAGTGAAAGAGAGAGAGAGACAAGAGAGAAAAGAAAGTGTGTTGAGAATAAAAGAGAGGGAGAAGAGAGAGTGTGTTGAGAATAAAAGAGAGGGAGAAGAGAGAGTGCGTTGAGAATAAAAGAGAGGGAGAAAAGAGAGTGCGTTGAGAATAAAAGAGAGGGAGAAGAGAGAGTGTGTTGAGAATAAAAGAGAGGGAGAAAAGAGAGTGCGTTGAGAATAAAAGAGAGGGAGAAAAGAGAGTGTGTTGAGAATAAAAGAGAGGGAGAAAAGAGAGTGTGTTGAGTGTGAAAGTGTGAGAGAGAAACAAGGGAGAAAAGAGAGTGCATTGAGAATAAAAGAGAGGGAGAAAAGAGAGTGCGTTGAGAATAAAAGAGAGGGAGAAAAGAGAGTGCGTTGAGAATAAAAGAGAGGGAGAAAAGAGAGTGCGTTGAGAATAAAAGAGAGGGAGAAAAGCGACTGTGTTAAGAGTGAAAGAGAGAAACGAGATAATGAAAGAGAGAAAATGACAAAGGGGAAAAAAGAGAAAGTGACAAAGGCCAAAAGAGAGTGAAAAACAAGCGAGAAGCGAGAGTGGGATGAGAGTGAAAGAGAGAGTGAGACAAAGGTTTAGAGAGAGTGTATTGAGAGTGAAAGAGAAGCAAGGAATGAGAGTGGGAGTGGGATGAGAGTGAAAGACAAGAGCGGAGAGAGAGAGACAGCGTGTATTGAGAATGCGAGACAAGCAAAGATAGAGAGAGAGTTGGATGAGAGGGAAAAGGGGAGAGAGACAAGGGAGAAGAGAAAGTGTGTTGAGAGTGAGAGACAAGCGAGGACAGAGAGTGTTGAAGAGAGAATAACACTATAATAAAAGCGCACTGGAATTAAATGCATTTTTCCACCATTACAATACGCAAGAGCCACTCAAGCTAGAGGCTTACGGACTGCGGTTGTTATAAGGATGTACAAGGAGGGAATAACCGGCGCATATTATGCTGGATAGATAATGGTTGAACCTAGATTTTTACGGTTTCGTCATCGGATTAGCCAACTGATTTCAAAGAATGATGCCCTTGACGGAAAATGAGTATTATCACTAAGATAAAAAGGATTAAACATTCTATTAGCATATCCGTAACATTTATGGTTTTTTTTTACTAATATTCACTTCTTTACAAGGCCCGAGAGCCTATCAATATAGAGGGTTACTGTGTAGTACTGTATGTGCATAAGTATAGGCAAATATCATGAGGTTAGAAAGGAATGATAACGGTTAACTCCAGACTTGAAGGGGTCAAGATTGAAGTGATTGGAAAAAGAAAGATCCCCAAAGCAGCGCTCTATGGGAAGAGGCTATTCGAGCGGCACTTCTTCTTTACTAATGGAATACTGAAGGGATGCAGATGATTCATCGGTGTGTATCGGGCATGGCGGGTCTCAGCTGGAACAAAGGAATGTCGCTCGACAGAACACTTGCCATGGAAATAGCAACAGAGCAGCGCAGTCCTGGGTATGACGATAAACTAAATCCGGCAGCAATGCTCCTGATCAGGAGACTGGCGGTTTTGAGGAGCGTGAAACCACTTGTTAAATGCTGTCGTTCCCAGAGACACGCTGACGCGGAGCGGTAGCACCTGTTAGGGTCCCAGCTATCGGCAAACCATGAACCCCACCCCAAACAAAAACAAAATCCTATTTTCAGAGTAAATGTAGCTAAAAATCATCATCATCATCATCAGCAGCAGCAGCAGCATCGTCATCATCATCATCATCATCATCAGTATCATCATCATCATCACCATCGTCATCATCATCACCATCGTCATCATCATCATTTTGACTTTTGTAATCCTTCTCATCCGAATGCCGACGCCATACCGAATCTCTACAACGACGGTCTATCAATGGCAGCCGTCAGCAATTCTGGCATAGCCATATTTGTCCATTGTTTGAAATTGTCCAACCAGTTTTTTTTTCCCCCCGTTGGCGTCCTTTCCTACGTCCACCTTCAACGGTGCCTTGCATGATGGTCCTGCACAGGCTGCTGTACCTTGTAACGTGTTCAAACCACGCCATTTTTCTCCGTCTGACAGTGACTAGAAGAGGTCCCTGGTGGCCGAGTAAACTTTCACCCCTTTTTCGTACAAACTTATTGGTTTTATATTCCCAAAGAAGATGCCAAGGGGTCATCTCATGCATTTGTTCTCAAGCGCTTGAATCCTTCCCTCTGTTTCTTCCAGCAATGCATTGATATATATATATGTGTGTGTGTGTGTGTGTGTGTGCAAATATATAGAAAAATAGGAAAGAACACGTTAGGTCAATAATCCGAAGTTCATTAGTATTTTTGAAAAACACTGCTTAATGCAAAAGTAGAGCCTACATTATAATTACAATTATTTAAAAAAAAAAATATGATTCCTTCACAAGACAAGAGATCGCAGGTTTCAAATTAAAAATTCCCCAAAATTTCGCTTGAGGACGAAACAGAGCATTTGGCTCTTGTTTTTGAAAGATGAACACTCTTGTGTAACGAAGGAATCATATTTTTTAAAAAAATATATATATATATATATATATATATATATATATATATATATATATATATATATATATATATATATATATATAATCAATCCTTCATTAAGATATTGATTTCACTAATATATATATATATATATATATATATATATATATATATATATATATATATATAATATAATATAATATATATATAATTGCAAACAATAAATACTTACTGTAGAATTACCAACAACAGCTATTTATCGTAGAATTACTGAAAATACATTTTATCTGTAGTTGGAGTCATACAATTGCGTTCAAAATATGTAGATAGCGTCATTAAATATTCCATAGAGGTTGATAGGCCGCAAAATGAGATCAGTAAGGTGGGGAGGTGGACCCATAAAAGGCTGTCTCATCCGCATAGATATTCACTAAGGATCCGAGAATGATTTAGGCAGATCCTTGAACGAATTATATTTTACAAGTCAGTCCTTCATCCATTTAGACTTTTGGAGGAAACGGAAAACCAATCCTAAACAGGGAACAAGGGATAAACCTGTACTCCTGTTCAAAAGACCGGGGAGGAGACGTTAGAAGTATGGAGTTGAAGTAGACTTTAGAAGGAAGCGGAAACCCAATCTTAAACAGGGAACAAGGGATAAACCTGTACTCCTGTTCAAAAGACCGGGGAGGAGACGTTAGAAGTATGGAGTTGAAGTAGACTTTAGAAGGAAGCGGAAGCCCAATCCTAAACAGGTAACAAGGGATAAACCTTCTACACCTGTTCAAAAGACCGGGGAGGAGACGTTAGAAGTATAGAGTTGAAGTAGACTTTAGAAGGAAGCGGAAACCCAATCCTAAACAGTGAACAAGGGATAAACCTGTACTCCTGTTCAAAAGACTGGGGAGGAGACGTTAGAAGTATAGAGTTGAAGTATACTTTAGTAGGAAGCGGAAAACCAATCCTAAAACGGGAACAAGGGATAAACCTTCTACTCCTGTTCAAAAGACAGGTGAGGAGACGTTAGTAGTATGGAGTTGAAGTAGACCTTAGAAGGAAGCGGAAACCCAATCCTAAACAGGGAACAAGGGATAAAACTCTTCTCCTGTTCAAAAGACAGGTGAGGAGACGTTAGTAGTATGGTGTTGAAGTAGACCTTAGAAGGAAGCGGAAACTCAATCCTAAACATGGAACAAGGGATAAACCTTCTACTCCTGTTCAAAAGACCGGGGAGAAGACGTTAGAACTACAGAGTAGAAGTAGACTTTAGAAGGAAGCGGAAACCCAATCCTAAACAGGGAACAAGGGATAAACCTGTACTCCTGTTCAAAAGACTGGGGAGGAGACGTTAGAAGTATAGAGTTGAAGTAGACTTTAGTAGGAAGCGGAAAACCAATCCTAAAACGGGAACAAGGGATAAACCTTCTACTCCTGTTCAAAAGACAGGTGAGGAGACGTTAGTAGTATGGAGTTGAAGTAGACCTTAGAAGGAAGCGGAAACCCAATCCTAAACAGGGAACAAGGGATAAACCTCTTCTCCTGTTCAAAAGAGAGGTGAGGAGACGTTAGTAGTATGGTGTTGAAGTAGACCTTAGAAGGAAGCGGAAACTCAATCCTAAACATGGAACAAGGGATAAACCTTCTACTCCTGTTCAAAAGACCGGGGAGAAGACGTTAGAACAACAGAGTAGAAGTAGACTTTAGAAGGAAGCGGAAACCCAATCCTAAACAGGGAACAAGGGATAAACCTGTACTCCTGTTCAAAAGACTGGGGAGGAGACGTTAGAAGTATAGAGTTGAAGTAGACTTTAGTAGGAAGCGGAAAACCAATCCTAAAACGGGAACAAGGGATAAACCTTCTACTCCTGTTCAAAAGACAGGTGAGGAGACGTTAGTAGTATGGAGTTGAAGTAGACCTTAGAAGGAAGCGGAAACCCAATCCTAAATAGTGAACAAGGGATAAACCTGTACTCCTGTTCAAAAGACAGGTGAGGAGACGTTAGTAGTATGGTGTTGAAGTAGACCTTAGAAGGAAGCGGAAACTCAATCCTAAACATGGAACAAGGGATAAACCTTCTACTCCTGTTCAAAAGACCGGGGAGAAGACGTTAGAACTACAGAGTAGAAGTAGACTTTAGAAGGAAGCGGAAACCCAATCCTAAACAGGGAACAAGGGATAAAACTCTTCTCCTGTTCAAAAGACAGGTGAGGAGACGTTAGTAGTATGGAGTTGAAGTAGACCTTAGAAGGAAGCGGAAACCTAATCCTAAACAGGGAACAAGGGATAAACCTCTTCTTCTGTTCAAAAGACCGGGGAGGAGACGTTAGAAGTATAGAGTTGAAGTAGACTTTAGTAGGAAGCGGAAAACCAATCCTAAAACGGGAACAAGGGATAAACCTTCTACTCCTGTTCAAAAGACAGTTGAGGAGACGTTAGCAGTATGGTGTTGAAGTAGACCTTAGAAGGAAGCGGAAACTCAATCCTAAACATGGAACAAGGGATAAACTTTCTACTCCTGTTCAAAAGACCGGGGAGAAGACGTTAGAACTACAGAGTAGAAGTAGACTTTAGAAGGAAGCGGAAACCCAATCCTAAACAGGGAACAAAGGATAAACCTGTACTCCTGTTCAAAAGACCGGGGAGGAGACGTTAGAAGTATAGAGTTGAAGTAGACTTTAGAAGGAAGCGGAAACCCAATCCTAAACAGGGAACAAGGGATACACCTCTACCCCTGTTCAAAAGACTGGGGAGGAGACGTTAGAAGTATAGAGTTGAAGTAGACTTTAGAAGGAAGCGGAAACCCAATCCTAAACAGGGAACAAGGGATAAACCTTCTACTCCTGTTCATGATATTATTGGACTAAGAAGAAGAAGAAGAAGAAGAAGAAGAAGAAGAAAAATAAGCTGAAGAAAAAACGAGGAGGAGGAGGGGGCAGAAGAAGAAAATAAGAAAAAGAAAAAAGAAAAAAAACGATGAAGAAAAAATAAAATGGAAGAGCAAGAAGAAGAAGAAGAAAAGAAGGTCCTCGACAAAATCCAGAGACGGATATGCACGCGATTGGCCCTAATATGGCATCTTGTTTACAGTCGTTCTCTTACAGACGTACCGTCGCTTCCCTCTGTCTTTTCTACAAATACTTTTAATATAACTGCTCCGATGAGCTACTTTTGCTAGTTCCCAAACTGCATGAATTTAAGCGTGCCACTAGGTTGGCATCTCAGTCTCACCCTTTCACTGTTGAAACGGTTAAATGTAGCCATCTCTTCTACTCCAATAGCTTCATGTCTCACACTTCCCATCTGTGAAACTCCCTTCCTCTTACTTGCTTCGCTGAGAGCTATAATCTCCAACTATTCAAATGTAATGTCAATCGACATCTCATGCCTTGATCTAATTCCCTGTCCTTCTCTTCATCCTTTCCTCTATCACGCCTCTTTTCTTTTGTTCCCACTCTCAGTAACCTGTTGCGTGCTAGGGGCACTTCCGAGGTGCTTGGGGTGAAATGCTTAAATAAAAGGAAAGAAGACAAAGAAGAAGAAGAAGAAGAAGAAGAAGAAGAAGAAGAAGAAGAAGAAGTAGGAGAATAAGAAGTAGGAGGAAGTAGGAAGAAGAAGAAAAAGAAGAAGAAGAAGAAGACGAAGAAGAAGAAGAAGAAGAACAACAACAACAACAACAATGACATTAATAATAATAATAATTAAGGAAGGAATGGAAAATAAAGAAAAAAAAACTATAGTTATGAAACTTAACATGACCTGAAAATGATAGATTGAATAGGAAGAAAGAATGTAAAATACTAAAGCATGTGTACCCAGTGAGCCAAATTTTCTTGTAGTAGACAAATCCATAGATTTCATTGTAGTCGCTTCACTTCTTGTCAGTGAAAAACGTGAAGCCAAGAAGACGTAGAGTCTTCTTCTCCTGGAGTTTAGTATCAGCCATTTTGATGGCAGACAGAAAAGTTTCTCTGTGATGATTAAATGAGAGCGGTTTTGTTTTGGAGCCGTTAAAATTGACAAGCCAGTCTTTGCCCCAGTTAACCACCAATTGGAGGTCTTTTTCAAGAGCAGTTGCCAAGTTTACTTCATCATGTCTGGTAGCAATGCAATTCTAAGTTCAATCCTTGGGTCGGGCAGTACAAACAACAGACTATATAAAAAATAAGATATGCAATAAACTGAGCAGTACTAAAAAATAAATAAGGCGATATTTCAAGCGAGCCAAAAAATAACAGTCTACCCGCGTTGATTTCATAAGGAGTCCACTTCGATATTCTCTGTAGATTACCTGGGTCGACAGACGTCTGTATGTTGATTGATTCATATTTATGTTTTTTTTTTTTATGGTTTATCGACACTTCTTTGGGTTATTTAGTGCGGAAGCATATTTCGGATTTTGAAAATAATTCCTTCTGTCTATTGCGAGTGAATATTGCACTGACAATATTTTTTGAGAATAACAAAGATTTTTCAATATGCAAGTCCTGCTATTTAACCCATAGTTGGGGTACAGGTGGTGGATTCATACGTTTCTCATTCCAAGCCGTTATCCATCACATCACCCACACACCCGCGACAAACACCTGAAAAGGCCGAACATAGTTTTTACTTATTATTATTATTATTTTCAAATTTTATTTAAGATCGACTGATGTGCGGGAATCTGGATGATGTTTCTTGAAACTCAAGTGCGAATGAAGGTCAAGGCTGTAAAGGGAGGACTGGACTCCAGTACAGATAGTATTCAGTTTTTGAAATCATTTAAACTACAAACGCTCAAAGGAAGATAACACAACAAAAAAAGCAATGTATTCGCAGCCTTTTCTCACTACTCACTAATGCGATATTTCGTTATTATGGTAACACGAGGTACACGCATTTAAGGATACATAGATAGATAGATAGATAGATAGATAGATAGATAGATAGATAGATATGAAAAGACTGTAATAGATAGACGGATAGATATATACATACGAAAAGAGTGTGATAGACAGAGAGACAGACATACAGATAGATAGATATTTAGATAGATAGATATGCACAGACTATTATAGATAGATAGATAGATAGATAGATAGATAGATAGATATGAACAGACTGTGATAGATAGATAGATAGATAGATAGATATGAACAGAAGAAGGAAGAAAGAAAGAATTATGTTACTACCAAAATGGAATCTCTAATAAGTAAGGGAGGTCAGGGTGCGTAACCGATATATCAAATTGTGAATTATATGATAGAGTACATTTTTAAACGTGTATTTCTTTCCTATAATTTCATTTGCAAGTTGTGTTTGTCTTATGTTTTCCGAATTTCTTAAGCAAAGGATTGGCAATTAATATACATTTGGGACTAGTTTTTCTTTCATCTTGTTTCTCTCGCATTTACACCCAGTAGCAATAGTCTTAAGAATTATTGTGAATTATTATTCAGTTTTGATTCGTATTTCTTTCAGGATATTTCTCCAGCCTTTCTGCTTAGTATTAATAGGCTTCTTAAATTACCTGAATTTCTTAGATGAAGCAATATCAATTAATATTTAATTTTGTCCCATATATCTTATATCTTATTTTTTTTATAGCTTTTACACTGAGTAGCAAAAGTCTTTTGTTATCAGAATTTCTTAAACAAATTGTTGTCAATGACTATTCAATTTTGCTTACTCTTTTATTCATCGTATTTCTTTTATTTTTATATCGATTAGTACGTCCTGGGTAAAACGATAAACTACCCCGCCACCAAGGCCTCTGATCAGAAGGTTTTGAGGATCGTGGAACCTCCTCTTAATTGCTGGTGTTCCGAGGTCCACCCTGGTGCTAGCATCTATTAGGGTCCCAAATATGGGCAAATAGTTAACCCCTAAACGGGTCAAAACTCTATGAAAGGGCCTCTGATCAGGAGGTTTTCAGGAGATTGGAACCTCCTCTTAATTGCTGGTGTTCCGAGGTCCACCCTGGTGCTAGCATCTATTAGGGTCCCAAATACGGGGAAATAGTTAACCCTTAAACGGGTCAAAACACTATGAAAGGGCCTCTGAGCAGGAGGTTTTGAGGAGATTGGAACCGCCAATTAATTGCTGGTGTCCCCAGGTCTACCCTGGTGCTAGCATGTATTAGGGTCCCAAATGCGGGCAAATAGTTTACCCCTAAAAGGGTCAAATCACTATGAAAGGGCCTTTGATCAGGAGGTTTTGAGGAGTGTGGAACTTCCTCTTAATTGATGGTATTCCCAGGTCTACCCTGGTGCTAGCATCTATTAGGGTCCCAAATATGGGCAAATAGTTAACTCCTAAACGGGTCAAAAACACTATGAAAGGGCCTTTGATCAGGAGGTTTTGAGGATCGTGGAACCTCCTCTTAATTGCTGGTGTTCCGAGGTCTACCCTGGTGCTGGCATTTATTAGGGTCCCAAATATGGGCAAATAGTTAACCCCTAAACGGGTCAAAACACTATGAAAGGGCCTCTGATCAGGAGGTTTTGAGGAGATTGGAACCTCCTCTTAATTGCTGGTGTTCCGAGGTCCACCCTGGTGCTAGCATCTATTAGGGTCCCAAATACGGGCAAATAGTTAACCCTTAAACGGGTCAAAACACTATGAAAGGGCCTCTGATCAGAAGGTTTTGAGGGATTGGAACCGCCAATTAATTGCTGGTGTCCCCAGGTCTACCCTGGTGCTAGCATGTATTAGGGTCCCAAATGCGGGCAAATAGTTCACCCCTAAACGGGTCAAAAACACTATGAAAGGGCCTTTGATCAGGAGGTTTTGAGGAGTGTGGAACCTCCTCTTAATTGATGGTATTCCCAGGTCTACCCTTGTGCTAGCATCTATTAGGGTCCCAAATATGGGCAAATAGTTAACCCCTAAACGGGTCAAAAACACTATGAAAGGGCCTTTGATCAGGAATTTTTGAGGATCGTGGAACCTCCTCTTTATTGCTGGTGTTCCCAGGACTACCCTGGTGCTGGCATTTATTAGGGTCTCAAATACGGGCAAATAGTTATCCCCTAAACGGGTCAAAAACACTGTGAAAGGGTCTCTGATTAGGAGGTTTTGAGGAGCGTGGAACTTCTTCTTAATTGCTGGTGTTTCCAGGTCT